GAAAGGGAAGAAAGGAAAGGAAAAATTATGAGAAAGAAAAAAAAATGGAAACAAAATCTATGTAGATAGGAAAGGGTGCATAGGTAATGGGGAAAAAAATAAGAACTAAGATGCATCATGTTCAGGTACAAACACCCAATGATAAATGTAAATGAACTGCATACCTAAAATGTATCAATGAAAGCATAAAAATAAATAAATAAAATAAAATTTTAGAACAGGGTTTTTTGAAGGCAATAGAGAAAATGACTGACATTAGTGTCCATTAGTTCAGAAAATAAGCTAAAGAAGATGTGTGATTTTATACCCTGTAAAAAAATTTTAATAAAATAATAAAATAAACGTAATGGGACTATCAGAGTCTTCTACATCATTCTGTGTCAGCTTTCATACACTTTACTAGGAATTAGCCAAACTGTCACACGGTTAAACTTATGACCCTAAAATATTTTCTCATATTCTCTTAAAAGACTATTTCACAGCCAGATGTGGTGGCCACGCCTTTAATCCCAGCACTTATAAAAATAAATGAAAAGCTCTGGGGATGTAACTCAGTGTGAAGACCCTGAGTTCAATCACCAGTACCACAGTAAATAAATAAGTAAACAAACATGACACAAAAACACATAGCGGATTTCAGGGACTCCGGGGACAGCACCCACCCGTGTGCAACCTGTTCCCTTCTCAGAGCTCCCTTCCTCAGGACACACAGCCACACCCAGCTCTGGGAAGAGGCCAGGAAGTGGCCCAGCACAGCAACCAGCGCTGCCGCTGTTCACAAGGCCCACGGATGAGGCAGGAGCTGCCCCACCTCCTGGCCCCTGCAATGTAGAGAAAAGGACCACGGGCAGCATCCACCCAGGCCGAGCCGCATCCCTCAGCAGGACATCACCACACACAGGGCTCAGGTTCTGCCACCACAGCTAAGCAAAAGTTTCATGTTTTTTCCCAGGTCCATGGGAAGGGGGGATCTGTGCCGGAAACCTAAACTCTGTGAAAGTTCACTCTGATCACTAGCAAGGCTGGCTGTGCAGCCAAGCACCCCCCAAACTCAGGTTCATGAAACAGACATTCACGCTGTTCAGAGCCCGCAGGTGCTGGCTAAGGCCGTGTGGTGCCACCAACAGCACAAGATGAGGCTATTCCCTCATCCCCAGGTTCTCAGGGGAGACAACTGGCAGCTCCACACCCCTGCATCCAGAGACCCAGAGCCCAGATACCAAGAAACCCAAGAAGGCACTGGGAAGGTGCTGGGGACCGGTGGCTAAGGATGATCCATGAACACACCATCCAGGTTCACCAAAATAATCCCTCCACCCCAGGCTCCTGTGCCCTGAGGCCTCCCCTGGCCAGCCACAGGGGGATAGAAGGAGAGGAAACTGAGAGGGAGACAAAAACAAAGAGCACAGGTATGTGAGGACATGAGCCAGGCCCACGACACACCCACCAAGGCCAAACCAGTTCCCCCAAGAACTGACCTGTGACGTCCAGGCGGAAGGAGACCTTCTGGCCCCCAGCCTCGCAGCTGTACTCCCCAGCGTCAGCCTCCCCCGCCTGCTGCACCACCAGCTGCCGCCTGCAGCCCGTGGCCTCCACGCGCACCCTCGAGCTCGCGCCCAGCTTCTTCCCGTCCTTGTACCACGTCACCTCTGTCTTTGGCTGGGCCACCTCGCAGCTCAGCGTGGCGCTGGCCCCCACCTCGGCCTGCACCTCGCTGTGGCCCGGCTGCTCCTTGATGAATGCCGCCTTGGGCTCTGGGGATGGACAGGAGCGACAGGAGGTCAGTGACACCACCTTGGGGAGGGAGGCTGGGCAGGCCTCGTGTGGCCCTGGAAAAGCCCTCAAAGTGTCGGCACAGGAACTCCTCCCTTATCTGAGCAGAGTTCATCCTAAGGGCCACAGTGGATGACAAAACCAGGGATCGTATCAAACTCTGTATGTGCTGCTGCCTGAACATACAGACCTGAGATAAAGCTCATCTCACAAATTAGGCACCGTTGGAGACGAACAACACTAACTAGCAAGGCCACGCCCTGCATCCCAGAACGAGGGAGCCTGAGCACATGGATTATAAGGTCAAGGCCAACCTGGGCAACCCAGCAAAACCTTGTCCCAAAATAAAAACACAATAAGGGCTGTGGGTATCATCAGTGGTAGAGCACTTGCCTAGCATGCGTGAGGCCTGAGGTTCCAAACCCAGCACCCCCAGAAACAAACACATAGCATAATTATGAAAGACACTGTCACACATTGTGTGCTGTGAGGCTCTTCTCACATAGAATAAGGGTTACTTGAACCCAAGCACGGTGATGCCACAACCAGCCAGCCAAGCCCCAGCCAGGCAGGGCGCTGACCCAGCATGGACACTCAGGGCACAGCGTGGCATGTGGGCCCTTGCCCAGGACGGCGGGCCATCTCATGCAGAGGACCTGTTCAAGGCCACAGTTTCCCATTTAATATTTTGCATAGTGTCTGACAGAGGATAGCTGGACCCACCAAACATGAAGCTGTGGGCAAGGACATCAGTGTCTCCCCCAGAGACCCTGATGTCATTGCTCAGTGACCCCCAGGGCTCTGGTCTCTTCCTTTCTGTGGCCCGTCTTCCCACTCCTTTTGGCATCTCCTGGTGGATCGAAGCATGCATCAAATTTGCTGGGGGCTGGAAATGGGGCCAGTGTCTTTGGTGCCCAGCAAGGTGAGCCAACGAACAGTATTTCACTGTGACTCTGCACAGCAGAAGAAAGGATCTGAGTGTTCCCAACACAGAGACAGGAGGAGCTGGAGGCACGATCACGCTGGTTGACAATAACACCTCGCACACGTGCATAAAATTGATATGCTGTTCCAGAGGTGAACAACCCACAGAAGTGCATCCTGGGCTTTCGGCCCCAGCTCGGGGACAAGGTGCATTCTGTGAGGTACTGCGTCAGGCTTGGATCACAGCCCTGTGCTCTCCGATGGAAGACGCTGGCTGGGGTGTGAACGTGTTTGTCCCCAGAACTCCCTGCAGGCACTGGGTCCCAGTGCAGGATGTGAGGAGGTGGGGCCTCCAGGTAGCAGAGACGACTTCACGCTGGATGGCATGGTGGGTGCCCAGCTGACAGGAGTCAGGACGGTGGAGGGTTCTGAATGCTCCGAGTGCCCTGATCTAATGGCCACACATGGTGCACACCGCCGACCAGTCACACTGCGCCCCAAGTGTGCACAGCTACTACATGCCCATGAAAAAGAAACCGGCAGCCTCCTAGGGCTGGCCGGGTCTGGGTGCTGCCAGCAGCCACCAGGCGGCTCTGGTGGGACCTGGCCAGTGCTCCTGAGGGGCTGCCATAGAGGACCAAGCCGGCCTCCCCGCATGGGCTCTGCCTCTGTGCCCTCCTCTTGCTTGGGCTCACCCTGGTACCAAGCACACCACACTGGGACGCAGCCCAGGCCCCACCCGAGCTGGGCAAACAGCCTGGGTTTCCAGCTCTAACGCTGTGAGCTCAGCAAGCCACTTCTTCATTGATCCTAGCTTCAGGCACTTTGCCGCAGCAGTGAGAAACAGGCTAATGTGACCTTTCTATGACTTCAGGCTTTGCTGTGGAAAGCAGCCAAGAAGGCACAGAACTCTGGGAAATGAAGCCCGGAAGGAAATGAGCTGCTCCAGCCGCTGCCCCCAGGAGCCAGCTTCGCCAGCGCATGGGAGGCAGCACAAGCCACCGACTCCTGCCCAGGGCTAAGTTCACAGAGCAAACTTCTGATGCAGAATGTTCCAGGACAGAGGAAAATGATGCTCACCTTGAAAGGCTATTTCCCAGTCTCATGGGACGTAGCTCCAGTCACTGCAGAGGCACCAGATCTAGCCTTTCTCGCACACAGGTTCACAGTGATGTCTGTGTTCGTGTGTGAAAGAGGGAACGGTCCCAGACACCTACACTGTCAGGCCTGACCCACTTGCCTAGCAGCTACAAATCCCATCCCAGTCAAGTGAAACTCAAAGGCTGCCTGCTAGTGACAAGCAGTGTGTGACACAGGGTGAGGGAATTCTGAAGCTAAAGAACATCCAGCATCAAACATTCACACAGCCAGGCAAGGAGCCATGGTCCAACCAGACCACAGGGCCTGCCAAAGCGAGAATCCTGGACAGAGGGACATCCAGAAGACCATGTGCGGGTGCTGGGGACATCTGACCACGTGTCACTGCAAGAAACAGCACTTGAGGCTGAGGGAATGGCCCTCTGTGCACACCCTGCCTGGCCAGTTGGCCTCAGGAAAAGAGGAAACAGGGAGAGGAGTCGAGCAGAGGGGACCCCAAGTGCCTTGAGGCTGTCGGCAGACCCCTCCTCACCTGCCCACAGGGAACTGACCTGTGACGTCCAGGCGGAAGGAGACCTTCCGGCCCCCGGCCTCGCAGCTGTACTCCCCGGCGTCGGCCTCGCCCGCCTGCTGCACCACCAGCTGCCGCCTGCAGCCCGTGGCCTCCACGCGCACCCTCGAGCTCG